CCTTCCTCTTAGCGAGCCAGCTGGCCACACAGTGGTGGGGTGCTGCCCTGGCCCCTAACTCAGTGGGGGCGGGGGCATGGCCAGGCCAGTCAGGGTGTCCACTGTGGGAGAGTTGCCTAAACAGTGTCCAAGAGCCTTTTTTGAATAAAATCCTCTTGCTCAAGCCTAGCACTCTTAATAAGCGTCTGGCCTCTCACACAGCCCAACTTTCCAACCAGACCACAGACTATCTGCGTCAGGGTCTGTCATGCACACTCTTCTGAGCCGGTGTCCACAGTGCACACTACCCCTGTATGTTTGCCACTTCGTCCATATCCACCCCCCCCCCCCCGCAGTGACTTCAAGCATCCAGGTCCATCCCGGTGCTGCTCAAACCTCAAACCTCCGTTTGGCAGGGAAGGGAGCTGTTGACCTGGCTCTCTCCCAAGAATCCTGCGGCAGACCCAGTACACACTGGGCCCAGTGCTGTAGCAGCCCTGATCCCTGCACTGGACCCAGAAACCTTATTGTCCCAAAGCACTTTCCTTACTGTCTGTTTTTTCATTGTCCTCTACAGTTTTGACCTCCAACCTTCATATATGCTGGGATTCCATTGGCTGTTCACTGTGTTCCTCAGAAGGTTGGCTAGGTGTTCCACCCGTGTGCAGGGGAAAGTGGGCTCTGCTCCCACCTACCTCGCCACCATCTTCCAGCCTCAGGATTTTCATATATAGCCTTTATTATATTGAGATAGTTTTATATATTTCTAATTTGTTGTATGTTTTTTATTATGAAAGTTGTTGAGTTTTGTCAAATGCTTTATTTGCATCAATTGAGATGATTGTGTGTTTTTTTTCCCTTCACTTTGTTAATATGATGTGCTTCATTGATTTTTGTTGAACCAGCCTTGCATTGCTCATGGTGTATAATCTTTTTAACATGCTATTGAGTTTGGTTTGCTAGTATTTTGTTGAAGACTTTTGCATATGTATTCATGAGGGATATTGGTCCGTAGTTTTCTTCTTTTCTTGAAGGGTCTGTACTGGTTTTAGTTAATACTGCCCTCACAGAATAAATTGGAAGTATTCCCTGTTTTTCAGATTTTTTTTTTTGGAAGAGTTTGAGAAGCATCAGTGTGAATCTCTATAATCATTATAAATCTATTAAGGTTTTTTATTCTTCATGATTCGGTTTGGGTATGTTGTATGTTTCTAGAATTTGTCTGTTTCATCTAGGTTATCCAATATTTTGGTGTACCATTGTTCATATTCTTATAATTCTACTTATCCTTATAAAATTGTCAATAACATCTATTTTTTCTGATTTTTAGTTATTTGAATCGTAGTTAATCTAACTAAAGATTTGTCAATTTTGTTGATCTTTTCAAAGAACCAGCTCTTGGTTTTGTTAATTTTTCTTTTTTTATTCTTTATTTTAATCTCTACCCTGATTTGTATTATCTTACTCCTTTGGTACTTTGAGTTTAATTTGTTTCTCTTTTTCAACTTCCTTAAGGTGAAAAGTTAGGTTGTTGACTTGAGACCATTGTATTTTTATATGTTTACAGTTACAACCTTCCCTCTTAGCACTACTTTCTCTGCACCCCATGTGTGTTTTGTTGTCTTTACATTGTCATTTGTCTCAAGATATTTTTAAATTTTTTTATGATTTCTTCATTGAGCTACTGGTGTTTAGGAGTGTGTTGTTTAGTTTCCACACATCTGTGACTCTTTTAGTTTTCTTCCTCCTTTTGGGATCTAGTTCCATTATATAGTAATTAGAAAATACACTTTTTCTGATTTCAGTCTTTTAAAATTTATTAAAATTTGTGTTGTGGCCCAACATATGACCTATCTTGGAGAATACACCCTGTCAGTTGAAAAAACTGTGTGTTGTGCTGTTGTTGGCTGGAGTGTTTTATATGTTTGTTTTTGGTCCAGCTGATCTATATGTTGTTCAAGTCTTGTATTTCCTCATGAATCTTCTGTCAGTGACCTGTTATCGACAATGGGGTGTTGAAGTCTCCTGCTATTATTCTATAGCTGTCTTCTTTCCCCTTCGATTCTATTAATATTTGCTTTATATACTCTGAAGCTCTGGTGTTTGGTGCATATAGTTTTAAAATCATTATATCTTTTACATTGACCCTTGTGTTATTTTTATAATTATATAACTACATATGTATGTATGTATGTATGTATATAATACCTTGTGTTGTCTCTTTTTAATAGTCTTTGACCTAAAGTCTCCCTGCTCTCTTTTGGTTACTACTTACACAGAATATCTTTTTTCATCCTTTCACTTTCAACTTACGTGTGTCTTTAGATCTAAAGTGAGTGTCTTGTAGACAGCATATAGTTGAATACAGTTTCTTATTAATTCTACAAATCTATGTCTTTTGGTTGGGGAACTTAATCCATTTACATTTAAAGTAATCTCTGATAGGTGAGCACTTTCTTTTGCCATTTTGTTATTTATTTTCTGTATGTCTTATAGCTTTTTCTTCCTCATCTCCATTGCTGACCCTTTTTTTGTATTTAATTATTTGTAATGACAAGTTTTAATTTCCCTTTTGTTTCCTTTTGTGTATATTCTATAGATATTTTCCTTGTGGTTCCCATTGGTAGACATGTACTGTGTCTAGAATTTATGACATTCTGCCTTATGTTTATACCAGTTTAACTTAATCACAAACAAAAACTCTGCTCCTTTAGAGCTCTGCCCCATTTTGTTAACTGATGTCACAGAGTAAGTCTTTTCATAGTGTGCCCACTATTACAGATTTGTAATTATTCTTATGCATTTGTCTTTAAACTCCCGTAAATAAATATGAATTGCAGTTATAAACTAAAATTATAATAATATTGGCTTTTACATCTTTCACATATTTACTTCTACCATAGAACTTTATATTTTCATATGGCTTCAAGTTACTGTTTAGTGTCCTTCTATTTCAGTTTGAGAGACTTCATGTTGCATTTCTTGTAAGGCAAGTCTAGAGGTAATAAAATACTTCTGCTTTTATTTGTCTGAGAATGTCTTCATTCCTCCCTCATTTTGGAAGCACAGTTTTGTTGCCTACAGAACTCTCAGTTTTTTTCCCCTTGAGAACTTTGAATATATCCTTCCACTGCCTTTGTCCTGCAAGGTGTCTGATGAGATAGCCATTGATGGTTTCACTGGGGATCCTTTGTACACATCAAGTTGCTTTTCTCTTGTTTCTTTCAAGAATCTCTTTCCACCTTTTCCTTTGATAATTTGATTGTGGTGTGCTGTGGTGTGGGTCTCTGGGTTAGTGCTACTTAACAGTCATCGACGGTTCTTGAATTTGTGTATCTATGCATCCTTAGGTTTGGAAGATTTTCAGCTATTGTTACTTCAAATCTCTATCCCCCTCTATTTCTCCTCCTTCTGGGGAGAAGACAATGAGCATAGCAGTCTGCCTACTGATGTTGCATTAGTCCCTGAGGCTCTGTTCACTTTCCTTTATTCTTTTTTTCTTTCCTTCTCATACTTACTCATTTAAAATGACTCATCTTCAAGTTTTCCCATTCTTGGTTCTACTGGTTTGAATCTGATGTTGAACTCCTATGGTGAATTTTTTAATTTCAGTATTTTATTTTTTAGCTTCAGAATTTGTTTAGTTCTTTATTGCTTCTGTCTCATTATGAATACTCTCATTTTGTTCATATATTTTTCTCCTTATTTCTTTGTCCACAATGTTCTCTAGCTCCTTGAGCATATTTATGACAGTTGTGTAAAGACTTTTGTCCAGTAAGCCCAGCACATGTGTTTCTTTAAGGACCGTGGTGGGTCACAGCATGTGAGAACTGCTGGGGGACTGCAGACTTAGGGGTGCCTGGGAGCAGGGGTGTGAAGGCAGAGGAATATGATAGGACATTTAAGGCCACAAGAAGCTGGGGTGAGACCCTAGGAAATTAAGACACGTAAAAGCGGCTGGTGCAATAAACACACTCATACACCCCACATAGAATCCAGACAGGACAAATGCCCAGAAACCGTTTGAGAAGATGTTAAAACCCTCATCCACACTGATTTCAAGGCTTAGGAGCCTGTTAAATATAGTGAAGGTGGTCCCCTCAAATCTGCAAAGACTGGGAGTGGGGCTGTTTATTCAAATGCCTCATTTTCAACAACAACAGAAAAACACAAGACGTATAAGAAGCAGAAACATGGCCCATTCAAAGGAACAAAAGACAGTCACACCTTTGGTACTCGTCAGTTTCCTTTGGTACGTGTCAGTTTCAGAACTCGTAAAACCTGTACTTGTCGCATTCTGACCCGAAAAATGTGTTTCCAGACTCAGCACTTGCTCGCTGCTCAGTGCACTTGTAGAACTTGTATGAATGACGGTGCTGCCCCACAAGAGAAAATGCTTCCTCACCCGACCCTTGCTTGCCACTCATGGGGACGAGCTAACGAGTACTGAGGCTCCCCTGTGAATCTCTAGAAACAGTTTCTAAAGAAAGACACATCCTGAGGTTCAGACTTTGATAACATTTCCTGCTTCAGCCCCAAGTCTGATGAGACCTCTCCTAGCCCACTGGACAGCCCACAGACAGCCTAGAACATTGTGAACGAGTTCCATTTTGTATCTTTCATCTCGAGGAAGGGAACTGAGGATTGGGATTTGTTCTTCTGACTGCTGCACTACACCAGGGAGACGGGGCAAGGGCAGGCAAACCACCACGTGATTCCATACCATTTCAAATGTCTTTTTCTGGATCAGGTGTTTCTTTGCTTAAACATTTGGCAGGCTTCCAGAGCTCCCACAGAGGTGTTCTGGACAGTGCGCTTTGTTTACATGATGCTTCCACAGGGGAACACGGTCCCGGACCTTCCCACTGTCTTACTGACCTCACTCTGTAACACACCACACCTTTTGAGACTTTTGCTGGCAAATGGGGTATTTTGCTACTAACTGGTGATAAGTACAATAAAAGTAGGCAGCACAGTCCCCGTACAGACTCGGCATCTGATTGTGTCTCATGTTTCCCCAGTACAAGCACGGAGGACCCATCATCGCTGTGCAGGTGGAGAATGAGTATGGCTCCTACAACAAAGACCCCGCCTACCTGCCTTACATCAAGAAAGTAAGTGCCAGCTTGACACATTTCTTTACAGTCCTCCCTCCAGAATGCAGTGTGGGCTACGGTGTCGCAGGAGGACCGCCACTCTTCTCATACTGACGCCACATCTCTCAGTGCCTTTCATTAGCGAGTGAGTTCTTTCTCCATATGTTCATTTCAGTAGGGCTGCCACTTATTCCCCTGTACTGGCTGAGACTGACAGGGGCTGGCAGTGCCTCCGTAGCATTGCAGGGCCTGCGAATAAAGGAATTGGCTCACCTGAGTGGCGATGGTTAGACACGTTCTCCTGGAGGGACAGCTCTTGTTCCAGCATCTGAAGCATTGCGGGCATGTTGGTGTCATCTGAGAATTGTAGAAAATCCCTGGGCCGATCTGGCACTCCGACATCTGATTTCACTGCGTGGGTGGGGTGGCGAACCACTGATTTCATAGGTGGCTGCTCAAGAGTGGGGCAGGGCAGGGCTAGAGGAATGGGCAAATATTCGACTCTGGTTTCTGTCCCTTAGTAGCTGAGACCTTGAAAAATGCCTTAATGTTTCTAAACCTCCATTTCCTCTTCTGTGGAGTAGAACTAATGAAGTTATTGGCCTAGCTGAATTGTGCTGTGTGTGAGGTCACATGGCTCAGAACTGCTTGAAGCAGACTGGTCAGTCAGCAAGACTTTGGTGGAGTCATCAGCATTGGTTTTAGAGTCCTTAGAAGGCTTGGCCACAGTGTGAGCTAAGGAAATGTTAAGTGGCCTCTGAATCAATCAGATTAAGACTGCCCTGGCCTTGGCTCTTGGTATCCTGGACAGCATCTCTTTTGCCATCACAGGCAGATTCATTTTCCATCTGGAAAGTACTTTAGTCCCTGCAGACAGGTAGACCAAGGCTTGAGCACATCAGCTTGTAGGTTCTCATTCATTCTTCCCCACCCATCTTCACATGCAGAATGCTTTCAGCATAGGGAGCAAGGAAAAGTGGCAGTCCTTCCCTGGAAAGGGAAGTGCTCAGTGCTGATGGTCAGGTCTAGCCCCTGCCTAGTTAGACTGTGCCTCCAGCTTCCTCTCTGTGTGTGAATTGGCTGGCAAGGTCCCAGCTGGGGTTCAGGATGGGGGAACTCCTGCTTCATCTCTTCCTTCTGCCTGTCTCTGGGTGCTGGGGCATCTCTAGCCAGTGGTTAATGAATTACTGAGCTGCAGAGGAGCAGAGCTCCAGTGAGGGCAGGAGAGGAGAGGGCAGCCACTCAGGGACCTCTCCTGCTCAGTTCTGTCTTCCTGGTGCCTGGGAGAGGCACCCCCGCATGAGACAGGTGGGTGGAGAGAAGCGGCAGCCCAGACTGTTATCCTGGTGGTCTTGGGAGGGTGCCTCCTGAGCTGCCATGCAGGTTTTCCTGGGGCATTGTGGGCATGGGAACCCCGTTGGCATAGAGGACCTTGGGCAAGTCACCTTCCCTTTCTGAGCTTTATTGTGTTGTGTGCACAGTGGGGAAAAGAATGCCTTTCTCTGAGGCTGCCGTGGAAGCAGTGGGATGACAGGCACGAGGCCCCGACCTGCGCTTGGCAGATGGCTGGTGCCCTGGGAGTGGTCACTCAGTGCCCATGGAAGGTCGTGGGGGACTGTTATAGCCATAAAAGACAGTTGCCGTCCATGTTTTCAGCCTCCCAATCCCCACGATGCTGCACACATGTGGTGGGAACCTAAGCAAAGTTTTTGAAATGTCACTGAGTGACTGACTGGCTGGATGAGTTGGAAGGCAGGGGCTTTTCAGGGTTTGACAAAAATCTCACCTCGCCTAGTGGATTGCACTCCTGCAGCCCCTGCTGTCCTGAGAATGAGGCCCTTCTACTCCTTCCTACCAGGATCTGGGGTCAGACATGAGCTTTATTCACCCATTGGGTTGCCTTTCTGCCTCCCCTGTTTCCAAGAGGATCGGGCTGGAATAAGCAGTCTTGTATAACATCTGCAGCAAAATGATAGGCAGATCCCCCTGGCTGGGCTTTCTGATCCCAAGTTGCCTAGAGCCCAGACCAGAGTGTTTAAAGGCAGGCAGACTCCGGGTTCAGTCTGTACTTGCTCATCAGCTCTGAGCCCGCAGCACTTTGTCTGACTTCTCTGAGGCTCGCACCTGTGCTGCTCAGAGCTGGTGATGAGACTGCCGGGGCAGTCTGTGTAGGGAAGGTGCTTGGCAGAAAGCCCTGATACTGTGAAGGCTTCACAGTGTTAGTGGGTGTTTCGAGCAAAAACTGGTTATTACCCCTGAACAGTGTGTGTTCCTTCCACTTCATCATTCAATTTACAACCTTCAAAAAGCGCTTACCATTCTACTGGACACGTGCCCTGCACCACGGATGCATGACTGTGGTGTGGCAGCAACCAGGACCCTCTGTGCTGGGCATGCGGAAGGGACAGGCTGCTTGTTCTGGTGAGGGCAAAGGGGGAGGAGTGGGCTGTCCCTGAGGCCCTGACCCACTCTTGGGTCTTTGTGGTCTCTTGCCAGGTGACAGTATGTATGGCAGCTGGCCTTGCTGAGCTGGCCTCTGGGGGGTCGTGCCTAGGAACAGCACAGTAGCCAGACGGGGCACCTTGCCAGAGCCAGACGGCCCTGCCGCTGTGCGGCCGGACTTACTGCAGACAGGAGCCTTGTCAAACAGACAGGGTGGGTTTCTCTGTTTTTGGCAGAGAGATAAAGGCTGTGTTTGAATTTCTTCCTCTTTAATTGCTGCCTCATTTGCAGCTGTGAGCCAGCGGGAGCTTCAAGGAATGATGGGCTTTGATGATTCTCATTTCCCCCCATAGGCCTTTGAGGACCGAGGGATTGTGGAGCTGCTCTTGACCTCAGACAACAAGGAAGGCCTGAGCAAGGGGACCGTCGAAGGAGGTACCTGCGTGGAGGTGGGGCAGGCAGCGCTTATGCCTGGCTGTGCATGCTCCCCTGACAGCCTCGCCACCTGTGGAGTTGCTCTGAGGCCTGTCCTTTTCCCTTCAGTACGGCGTTGGGCCCCGAAGCTCTGGGCCTGCAAAGGCTCTGTGTCGGAGATGGACTTGCTGTGGCCAGCCCTGTAGTTCGTCTTCCTTTTCTGCTTGCACTTGCACTGGCCGTGCTCTGCAGACTGCGAGCTGGCATCTGAGGTCTTCGAATGCCCCCAAAGAGGGCTGCACAGATGGAAGCATTGGATGTGCTTCGAGGATGGTCTCCTTCAGCCAGTCCTGCCAAAATTAGAGAGATGACTGAGCCCTCTGAGGGTCTGAGCAGCCCTCGCAGGGATGGCAGTTGGCTGCCAGCGGGGAAGCTATGCATGAGCAAACATTGTAGGCGCCCCCAGCAGCATTCCGCCTCTCCTCTGCTTCTCCTGTTCCTGCAGATGCGCCCGCTGTTCCCCACTTGCACAGGGAGTTCTCCTCTTACCCCTCAAGAGCTTGCTCAGCATCTCTACCTTAGGCCCTGGGTCATCAGCTTTTCTTCATTGGATCGTCCCCACTGCATATAAACATGTTGTTGTTTCTCTCTTCTGTGGAAACATCTCTCCACTCATTTCCCTAGTGGGCTCCTCTTTCAGCAACTCTCCCCATGTGCACAGTCACGGGCCCCTCACCCCTTTCCTCCCATCCCTCTTAGAGCCCAGAGGAGGAGCATGTTCCACCTCTCCATGTCCACGTGATAAATTTAACTGATCAGTGCCCACCATCTCTGACCTGTACAATTTTATTTGTGATCGATTATCCTTCTCTTCCCTTCGACTCTGTCTTCTCATTTGGCATCCAGGACACCATTTCCCTGTTTTTCTCTGACCTCATGGGCAGCTCCTTCTTGGTATTTTATCCTGGTCATTCTATCTCCCTCAGCTAAAATGTTCAGATTCTTCATGGCATACTCCTTGGAATGAGCCCTCTATCTGGTGACAGCTGGTAATGCCATCCAGGTAGCTTTAAGTACCATCTCTGGGTTGTAATGAGGCCTTTCCTAAACTCCTGGGCTTGCCCCGGGAGGCTGCCAGTTTCAGGGATCATCAGGGACCTGAACCTGCCCGTTTCCGCCTAGAACCTGCCCCTCCTGTTCTTGGCAAATTTCAGCTCCATTGTCCCCCAAATACACAGCCTCCAGTCCTCATAGTCACTCTCAGCCCCTCTCTACCCGCATGCTGGGCACACAGCCACCAGCAAACCCTTTTTATCTCTAGCTTTAACTTCAAAGTCTATCTGGAATTCAAGTAAGTTCTACCACCTCAACTATGGCCATCATCTTTCATCTGCATTATAGCAACAGTATTGGAACTAATCTCCCTTTTCTCCCCACTGTTGACTCCCTTAAACTTTTTCTCAATATAACAGTCTTTGAAAAGTTCATTCAGATCACCCCACCCCCGCCTGAACTCCAGGTGTACCCCAATTCTGAGAGGGACCTAGAAGGGCCTCCCACATGGCCTCTACTTCCCAGTGGCCAGCTGTCTCCTGCCTGTCCCTGGCCTGCTCTGCTCCTCCCTGCTGGCCTCCCTGCTGTTCCTCAGCTAGGCTGGATGCCCCAGCTTCTGCCCAGTGTGCAGGGCACAATTGCAGCTCATCCTCGGGCTCTGCTTGGCTGTATTTTACTTTCTGACATTCTGGGAAGTTTCTTTCTGTGACCTACCTGTTTCACCACAGCAGTAGGTTGTGCGGGGCCTGGCTGCTCCTGTGCCAGACAGGCCATGGCCAGCCCTCCCCGAGGACTCCGGCCACTATGCTGGTCTCGGCTGTAGCATGTGCACTTCACTGTGCCTGTACATGGCCCTGCAATGTCTTGGATACTTGAAGAGAGGATCACGCATCTCTGTAGCCCTAGGGCCAGCACCCAGTGTGTGGTGGGCACTCAGGGAGTGACTGTTGAATGGATGGGTGGGAGAAGGCTCTGATTCCCAGGTGGGGGAGTTCTCCAAGCACCCTGTCTCCTGGTGAGGCCCAGCCGCTGTTCCTGTTGTTTCCACATGGTGGTGCTGTCTCCCTGTAGCTGCTTTCAAAGCCTCCAGCTCCTAGGGATCTGGTCAGGGCTGGGGTATGGGCGGTTGGGTGAGCTGTGACTAGTGCAGGTAGGGAGGCAGGGCCATCTGAGCTGCTGCAGGTGTTCAGTGTGCTGGCACCCTGCAGGGGAAATCCTGCGTGGGAGCTGGGAGCTATCATGCATTTCCCCTGCCCCTCCCAGCCTCAGGAGCGCTGCTTGCTGCCTGCTGCTGCCACCTGAGGTGTTATATTTTTCAATTAATTAAAAATGGAATTATAGTTACATATTCAAAAGGCATAAAAGTGAAATCAGCCCTGGCTGGTGTGGCTCAGTGGCCTAAGTGCCAGCCTGTGAACCAAAGGGTCATGGGTTTGATTCCCACTCAGGGCACATGCTTGGGTTATGGGCCAGGTCCCCAGTGGGTGGGAGGACATGTTAGAGGCAACCACACACTGATGTTTCTCTCCCTCTCTTTCTCCTTCCCTTCCCCTCTCTAAAAATAAATAAGTAAATCTTTTAAAAAAGTCAAATCTTAGAAATGCTTATCAAGAAATACTGTGTAGCCCCCCTGCTCCCACTCCCCAGAAACAGGCATTTTGAACTCTTTCATTTTTATTCTGGTATTTCCCTTGATGATTCCAAATAATGCACCTGTGGTACTTTGCCTTTATGTGTTTGAAAGGCTGTCTACTGACACATGTTCTGGCTGAGGTTCTAGCTCTCCCAGCCGCCTCTCCCGCCCCGTGTGGCCGCCTCCCAGTTTCTGTTGCCGGCGACAGTCAGTGTGTGACTGACAGGTGATGTCCCCCATGGGCCTGGCAGTGTGTCCGGCGGTCTGTGCATACGTGTGAATTGACCCACTCCGTGTGCTCAGTTGTCACGCTCAGTGTAATTATCCCCTTTATTTTTCTTTTTAATTCCTTTTTCCTTCTACCCTTCCCCCTTTCTCTTAAATGCTTTACCAACACATTCCACACATCTGTCTCAGGGGGTTTTCAAATGCCTGTATGTGTCAACCTCGGCATAGTGTCTCAGGGCGCTGTTGGCGACCCCGTGTTCCTGACCTGCATGGGCCTCCTGCGTGGTCACCGAGGCTGACCTGTGTCCCTGTGGAGACATGTCCCAGAGCTTCGAGGGCACAACTGCATTGTCTTCTAGCATCCATTGTTGCTGCCGCTGAAGAGCAAGGGCATTCTGGGTTGCAACTGTCTTACATGCTCTGCTGTTTCTGGGTAATTGGAGAATGTACCTTTTATCCTTGATGGTCTGGGTTTCAGCACTGTCCTTAGACATGAGAGATGTTCCTTTTTGAGGCACTACTGTGGCCACTGGGGTTGGAATGGTGATGGCTCCCAGTGGGGGGCATTCAGTTGTTGCCTTTCTCATGTGTGCCTTCCCCTCCTTTTTCTGATCTTTGGTTGTTCCTGTTATATGTGTTTGGGCTCTCATAGCAACTCTAAGTTGCTAATCTTTTTGCTCTTTTATCTCTTTGCCCTTTTATTCTGTTTTCTGGGTAACTTCCTCAACTTTTAATCTTCTAGTCCTGTCACTTCCTGGGTCTTGTCTTTCTGGAGTATATTACTTTTCCCATGGCATACTTTTTTAAATGGGTACTTCTTTCTTGTTTCTCTCTGAAGATATTTTACTTTTTTTTTTTAACATCCACATGTTTTACTCCAGTCTTCCATGTGAGGGCATTTACTCAATTGTCTGGCTCTGGACTGAGCAGTTTAAAGAACAGGCACTAACCTGCCACTTGGGAACTGATACTCAGAGAGGCTGGGGACAGGTGTGCTGCTCTGTGGGGTGACCAGGCCATGGGGGGGCTGTCTCAAAGAGCCAAACCCAAATGTCAGTGTCTGGAGAACTTGTCTTTAGCTCTGTTAACTGTTTCAGACAAGACTCCTTTGGTGTATTGCTGAAGGTATTCTGGAGGCAAGGGGTAGAGATGGGCAGGGTGCCCCTTGCAAGTCCTCATCCCCCCGTCACATCTCTCACCCGCCTCTGCTGTGCCCGATCCCTCCCAGCCCAGAGAAATCCACCTCCCTGCGGGACAGCCACTGGTGGGGATAGGGGCTTGAGGAACACTCAAGCAGGAGGTGGGGTGTTGTTCACTGCACATGGCCTCGGCTGTGGGGTGACGAGCCTGTTGTGACTCCTACTTTCCTAGGCCATGTACCAACCCTCCCGCTTTTCTAGTCTTCTGAGATTTTCTGGAAGCTATCTCTGCTGTGTCTCCTCTCCAACTCTTGTTCCTCATGGCCTTCTGCCTTTTCATTTCTTTATTTTTATTTTAGTGCGGTCTCAGGAGAGGTAGGGACAGATGCTCTGTTCAGTTAGCGGTGCTAATCCTGCTGATGTATGGTTTCTGCCTGGTCAGTTTCAGACCGGCATCTGTCTTCAGGAGTTTCCACTTTAGGTGGGGAGGGGCCTTGTGTGGGGTCTTTCCCAAGGGGTTTCTGGGGACAGTGACATCACAGGACAATGGGTCAGTGTCAGATGGGCCTGGAGGTGCAGCTCTGCTCTGCTGCTCACCAGTTGTGTGACATTGAGGCAAATTACTCAGCCTCAGGAGCCTCACTGTTGTTTTTCATCACTGGTACTCAGGGTCTCGTGTTGGACAGGAAAGTATGAAGGTGCCCAGCTGGCCAGACCTTTGCAGGACTACTGGGCCTCAGGCGATGGTCAGTGCGTGTGAGGCCCACACCTGGTGGAAAGAGTGGTCAGGGAGCCTCAGAGCCGAGTTCCACCACTGGGGTAGGCCTGGATCCAAACACAGCACATCTTTCTCAAGCATACATTTCCTGGGTGGAGAGCCATTTAAAATATTAATTTAAATAAAAATAACATATTATTTGATAGAATAGAAAATTAACCCTCCTCTAAGAAATAAAAGGGGAGTCTTTATTTAAGTCATTACTCTGTACTAGATGTTTGAGGTGCAAAGTAAAGGTCAGACTCTAGGCTCCTGCAGAAGATTCATTAACAGAAACGCACATTCTGGTTGTAAAAACTGCATTAATCAAGAACACAGGCTTAGTGGGTGACTGCCCTGCACAGCTGTGCTGAGCGGTGCAACTGTCAAGATGAACAAGATAAATCTGACATCAGAGGAACTCCACTCTAATTGGAGGTGGGAAAGAATGTCAAAATTAGTTAATTTACTTTGCTGGTGAATTCAGAAAGGCCTGGGGTAATTCAGAAAGTCTTCCCGGCTTACAGACAATACTTCGTTTCTCTGTTCTTCTTCCCATTCACAGTGTTGGCCACCATCAACTTACAGTCACAGCACGAGCTGGAGTCTCTGAGCACCTTTCTCTCAAGTGTCCAGGTAAGTCGGGCAGGGGAGCTGTCCGCCCTGCTCGGTGTGAGGGTGGGAATTCTGAGGAACAGTTAAGCTGAGCCTCTCTGTTGGGAAGTGCTGGTGCTCAGCATCCCCGTGTGGGCAGCGGGGCTCCGGGCTCTCAGCCTTCGGCTCGCTGCCCTCATTGCACGTTGCACATCGTAGCCATCCCACCTGTGCTCCATGTAGCTATGCCCCAGGCCGGGCGGTGAGGCGGGGCAGTGTGGAAACTGCTCTGAGCTGTTGCTGTGTGGGCTGATGTATCAGTGTGGTTTCCACCTCTTGAGAAAGGCATTCATTTTTGGAGCTCTAGGCTTGGTGTGCTCACAGAGGCCTCTTGACTTGAATTGTGTGGATTCAACTAGGTCCAGACTGCTCAGGTTGGGCCCTGGGACTGGGGTGGGGGGTACCTCCCTGCCCTGTACTGTATATCTCTGACCTTAATCTGTAAGGCCTCTGTGTGCCTAGAAAGATTATGGTCACCTGCAAGGCACAAAGCCTAGTCCATTCCAGGTGCGAAGCAGAGAGAAGTTTCTGGATGTATCTCAACATCCACCAGATGGATGGGAATTTGCAGTGAAATCCTATTCTGATTTCTCTTCTCTTGAGTGTGTGTTTCTCTCCTGAGGGTTTAGCTATGATGTGGCCATGGCAGCTGGGCCCCTTCACAGCACTGAGGGCCCCATGTGTTACTACATGTTACTGAAGGTGTGACTGCCCCCCCTGCCACCTCTGTGGGACGAGTGCATGCTCCTGGGCCTGGAGCGGAGCTGTCCACGTTCCCTGTGAACAGACAGCATGTGGAGGTGCTGGGGTAGTTTTTCCTCCCACTGCATATTTTTAGAGCAGAGCTAGGGGCCTCAGACACAGCTGTATGAAGTCACCATAGCAGTGTGAAGTCATGTAGGATGAGGGTCGTGCATATGTATGATGTAGCGACTACTGCAGTTTACGGGGACCAGCAGAGTGGATGGGGAAGCTGTCATGGAAGAGGTGGGGCAGACAGACTTCAGTAGGCAGATTGGGGAAGACAGTGGATGCTGGTGGGCCGAGTGCAGCCCCTTCTCCCATCCTGCCTTCCTCCACTGGCTATGGCATGCCTGTTTTGCCCCGGGGTGGGGCTCGGCCATTCCACTGCAGGGACTAGGACGACGGGCCTTAGGCTTCATGGAGCTGCAGCCTGCTTGGGGGACGTATCAAACAATTGCCTAGAGACTGCATAGAGTTGTACCTACCTGACTTCCATCCAGGGACAGTTCAGGGAGCTATAAGCTGCCCACCACCCATGAGGTGTGCCCCCTCTTCCAGGAAGCAGGGATAATGGTGGCACCCATTCACGAGGCTCTTTAGGAGTCACATGAGGCACACGTGGAAAGTGCCCAGGCAGCAGTGCCTCACGTTGACACCTTTCTAGTTACCCTGGAGCATCGGCTTCCCCCCGGCCCCCCACCAGGCGTCCTGTTGACAGAGTGGTTCTGCTCAATGCCTTCAGTCCAAGGTTCAGAGATGTCCATTTCCCTGTACAAAGGGATGTGGCTCCTGTCTTAGATCAAAGGCTCCTTCAAATGGTCCAACAGAACAGGCCTCACTCTGCTTTCCCTTGGGCACCAGGCAGCACCTCACTGGTCCTTCACGTCCATGCTCCACGATAAAGATGAGGAAGGCGAATGTTTCCTGAGCACTTCCTGATGTCAGGTGCTGTGCGCCAAGGGCTTCGTGTGCGTCATCTCATTTAGTTTTCCCAGAACCCATGGCAGCAGGCTGCTGCTGTTGCATTCCACAATTACGGAGACAGCCTTGTGGGGCAAATAAAAGACACGGTCGTGAGCAGCAGGTGAAGGTGCATACGGACGGTCTGAGTGAGTGTGCAGCTCCAGCTGGGACCACAGTGCGCAGCACAGTGGCTGGGGCCTTGGGTGAATGCCCCTGCCCTGGACCCAGACCCCGCAAGTCAAAGAGTCTCCCCACCCCGACCGGCGGGACTCAGAGTCTGCATCTCTTTTCCAGTGACCCAACCGTCCTGCCATGTGTCCCGTTCCTTTGTTGGAGGCAGACAGCTGTAAAGAAAACCAAGCCACCAGTCTCGCCAAAACAAACAAACAAACAAAAAAACCTTTGCTCTACTTCGGCCTTTCCCCTGGCATGCTTGGTGCCATCTAGTCAATGGCCCATAAATCTGCCCCATGGCCTTGGCTCAGATTTTGTTGCTTTGCATTCAGTTATGTCTAAATGTATTGCTGTCACTAACAGAGAAGGTGCATGACTAATGAGGAAGGCTCTTGTGCAGATCCTGAAATGCCAGTGAATGAATCAGTCCTTGCCCTCTGCCTCCTACCCCAGGAGCTGCTCTGGTGCTTCAGCAAACAAGGCAGAGCATAGCAGGATCCTGGGAACAAAGTCTGCAGCCCCAGACAACCCTGTGCTGAAGTCGGTATTCCAGCCAAGCTCTGGGGCCAGGCACCGCTGCAGAGCCTGCTCTGCAAATAGTTGCACTGCAGCCCCGTGCTCTTCCTTCGACTCTGGTTTTGTAAACTGCTTTTGAAACTAAACTGGACCTTGAAGAGGGGCCCACTCTGCAGCCCTCTGGCTCTCCCAGCCACTTTTCCAGCTAAAGGGAGGAGGCCAGAGGGTTCTGCATCCACAGTAAGCCACTCAGAAGTGGTTAGTTACCCTGAGAGACCATTCATCCTTCCTGGGAGAGGACAGGCAAAGCTTGGCTTGATCCAGAAAGCAGATCAGTGTAGGAAAAGACTCCCAAGGCAGGTGTTGAACTCTGATGAAGACTTGCTTTTGAACAGACACCCACGCTTTCTCACCAGCACTGTATGCAGCAGGGTCTGCTGCATGTGTCACCTTTGGGCGCACGTTCCATCTCCACCTGCCCTGTGGCGGCCACACATGGAGGCTCAGCTGGTACAGGTGCATTTGTCCTCACCTGTGCTCTGCTTTCAGTGGCCTCCAAGGCCAGGGGAAGAACTGGAAGGACAGAAGGGTGGGCTTTCCTCTCCAGGAGGGGCTCCTTCCATCTGCCTCTTTTGACCAGCTAACTTCTAGTTTTGTGGTGCCCAGGGGGTTCAGCCCAAGATGGTGATGGAGTACTGGACAGGGTGGTTTGACTCCTGGGGAGGCCCACACAACATCCTGGATTCTTCTGGTAAGTGATTTTGCGCTACCTGTGTCCACCATGCATGCTGTCCTAAGAAGCAGGAATGAGTCCCACATTATCTGCTAATTGATTCTGGACTTATTTGCTTGTCATAGTCTGCTCTTGATATTCCAGGATCATTTGTCTTAACATTTGAGTGAACGGTAGGACTTTCAACATTGATTTATGATGTGTTTGTAATTAGATCAGTAACACATGCCAATTGCAAACATCCAGCAAATATAGAAATTATCTAAAGAAGAAATAAAGATCCGAGAACCCAGAGAAACCATTGTGATGTGCACTGTCCAGGCAGTTCTCCCTCTGTGTCTATCTGCAGCCCCATGTGCACTCCCAGAAGAGAGGCGGGCAGATGCCGACATATCTGTCCTTTGTGCAGAGCACAGGTGGATGGCTTTTCTCTATTAGCTATAAATTCCAGCACTGTTTTGAAGAATACAAAGAAGCCCATGGTATCTGGCTTCTAAATCAACATATTTACCCCACCTCTATGGATGAACACAGTTGTTTCCCGTGTGTTCTGTATTCTTGGACATCCAGTTTTGCACATCTGGCATATTTCCCGCCCTGAGAATTCCCTAGCGATACAATTGATACATGAATGCAGTTTTGATATATATTTACTAAACTGTTTTCCAGAAAGATTGCAGCAATTCTTAACTCTCCATTATTGAAAAGAGTAGCTGTTTCCCAATATTTATCAACACTGGATATTAAAATAATCTTTAATATTTGCCATCCAATGATAGGCCATTGTTATTTTGCATTTCTTTGAGCAGTATTGTTTATACATATATAAATATATATGTATATATTTATATATATTTACATATGTATATATATCTCACATTTCTCCTTTGATACCACCTCTTCGTGTCATTGGTTGGCTCTCTAATACAGGTAGGACTGGGCAGGGAGTCAGCACTACATCTCTAATGCGAATCCTATCTTTCTGCAATCCTCTCTTTCTGCAAGTGGGAATGACATTGAGAAACATGCCCGGTGGAGGCAGAGGGCTGCCTGGGGCAGCAGGCTATCTGAGCTGCAGTCAGCAGAGGCTTGGCTGTGGTTTTAAAAACAACTGGAAGAAACAAATATCAAGGACACATGGACAAAAACTGGGGGGGGGGGCGGTAGAAATGGGAGAGAGGTGGGGAGGGATGGGTGGGCGGGCTGGAATGGGAGTAAAGGACAGAAAACTGTACTTGAACAATGATTAAAATTAAAAAAAAACAAACAAACCAACAACTGGAAGGCCCAGGCTCTGGGGCAGGGGTTCCAGTGGCTTCTCCTCCTCCTCCTGTGATTGGGGTTTTAGTGAAAGCTGAAGGACAGAGCCATGGAGCTGACCTTGAAGAGGGACTGAGGAAGATGAGAGTGCTCCAGGGACTTGGGGCTCGTCTCAGACTCTGACTCACTCTGCACACCCCCTCTCCTGCCTCTTTCTGCAGATGTTTTAAAAACAGTGTCTGCCATCATTGATGCCGGCTCTTCCATCAACCTCTACATGTTCCATGGAGGCACCAACTTTGGCTTCATAAATGGTGCCATGCACTTTCATGAATACAAGTCTGATGTCACCAGCTATGGCAAGTACTCCCCAATTCTGACCCTCCCTGCAACACCCCAACATTTGTGTGTCTGGGTTTTTATGGGGGGTCCTCAGGGACAGCTCTGGCACCTTGAGTGTTCTTGGCTCTGGAGTGTGGGGAAGGGGAGCTTTGTTCTGGGAGTGAGCTGGCATGCGCACAAGCCTCTGGAAGCTGCTGCAGGATGTGCGGGAGGCTCCAGCAGGCGGGAAGGTTGTTAGGTGAGAGCAGCCTCTTCTTCCCACCCGGCCCTTCCCTGGAAGACTGGAAAGATGCCTGGAGTTTAGAGTTATGCTATGGTCATGTGCAGTTTTGGTGGCATTTTATAATATTTAGTATTTATAGTCTTTTCACTGATGTCCCATCCCAGAAGTATTTTGCCTCCCAGATTTCTGGGATGAGGACTATGCTGCCTGACCCCAGCTTCTGCCTGCTCTCTCTGCTGCCACAGACACTGGTGCAGGGTGGCCAGTGACAGCGCCCTGGTGTCTTGCAGATTATGACGCAGTGCTGACTGAAGCTGGGGATTACACAGCCAAGTACACCAAGCTCCGAGAACTATTTGGCTCCATCTCAGGTACCTGGCAACAACAGGCTCAGCACCAGCTTGGGCCCTCGCTTTTGCCCAGAGGCCCCCCACAGAGTTACCTCTTCAGGACCCTGCCTCCCCCCCAGTAGACCCGTGCACCGGCAAGACTTGAGACAGGCCAGTTTGAGAGAGTGTTTTCATCATGGTTTGTGTCTTGCCTAGTTTGCCTTTTTATAGGTGTTAAGACTCCTAAGGACTGGAGAAAGCCCCTGTGCTCTTCCTGGTGTTGCCGGCCTGATGGGGTCCACATGCATCAGAGGGCGGGCCTGTTTCCCGTTGGCTCCAGGATTAAGGAGCATGTGGGCTGTGGGTAGGAGCCAGGGTTGGGCACTGGAGGAGGCAGTAACTGTGTGTCCTTTCGGGATGGCCCCATTGTCTGTGTTGTAGATGGCCCTCTTCCTGCCCCACCTGAGCTTCTTCCCAAGACTGTGTATGAGCCACTGAAACCAGCTCTCTACCTGTCGCTGTGGGATGCCCTGCAGTTCCTGGGGGAGGTGAGTGATGTCGGCAGGGGCGCCAGGCCAGGAGGCCCCCCAACAGCTGTCCTGCAGAAAGGGGAAACCAGCTCTTGATAACTTTGAGGCCTTCTCTTCAGCTTTAGAACTCAGAGCAAAGAGAACAAACTCTGCTAGAATGGGAAGTGGGAATGAAAGAAACTTGAAGAAGGACTGGGTACCACAATGTGGACTCTGTTTCTGCAGCCTCAGTAAGCACAGAAGACAGTGCTGAGGGGGGAGGTGAGCCCACCTCCTCTGAGAGGAGGGTGTACCTCTTAAAGCAGATGCAGAGGATGCAGTGAGCCCAAGTGATGGCGACTGGGTGTCAGGGCTTTATCTGTTATTTTTACATTTTTCTTTTTCATAGCCCCCTTCCCTGCGACTCTGGGGAGCCATGGGAAATCAAAATAAAAAGAGATGTTAGAGGCCCCTGTCCCATCACTGCCCCGTGGGGCCCTAGTCCCTGGCAGTGGGTGGTGGGGGGCATCTGTCTGCTACTCTGTGCTACCACAGAAGGACCAAGATGAGGTTGCCATCTTTTCCCTCCTTGACCTAGCCCTGTGCCTCCTCCTGTCTTCTCCCTATACAGCCAACCAAGTCTGAGAAGCCCATCAACATGGAGAACCTGCCAATAAACAATGGAAGTGGCCAGTCCTTTGGGTATACTTTGTATGAGACAACCATTGACTCATCTGGTGTCCTCAGTGGTCTTGTGCGTGACCGGGGACAGGTAGCGTGTCTCCTCTGAATTTCCATGGCCTTGCAGTGATCAAGCCTTACAGCATACCCTGGCTGTCCCTCTACTTAGCACTCAGGCGTGCAGCTGCTACTGGCGTGTAGTGATGGGTCCTCACTGCCCCCGTGTGGTCCTTGTCAGCTATGTTCCTGGGCACTCACTTCCCTCTGTGCCTGCCTTGCCCCTCTGCAGCGCACGCGGGTGCCCTCTTCCTTTGCTTAGCAGAGTTTCTGCTTGCTCCTCCCTTCTGTTGACCCATGGGTGCTTTCTGTCTGTCTGGCAGGTATTCGTGAACACAGCGTCTGTTGGATTCCTGGACTACGAAAGGAGGAAGATTGTCATCCCCTTGATCCAGGTTTGGTTCCTAGGGAGCTGGGTGGGGGCTAGCACCAGCCACTTCCTGAACAGGTTCTCGGGAGTCAAGGAGGAAGACCTAGAACATGGCAGGCACCTCATCCAGGGCTGGGCGTGGAGAGTGGGGCAGAGCTTTGCTTTCTGACCATCAGGGACACTTTCACTGCCAGCCTCGGTGCTTAGGGAAGGACTGGAGTGCCAACAAGAAACTCCCAGGAGGAGTGGTGGCCTTAGGGCTGGGTGCTCAGGCAGTCATCATCCACCCCGGTGTCCTGGCAGGGTTACACCGTGCTGAGGATCTTGGTGGAGAATCGAGGGCGAGTCAACTACGGGGATACTATCGATGACCAGCGCAAAGGTGAGTCACAGCAGATGCTGGGAGAAGAGCTGCTGACACTCAGCATAGGCCTGGCTAACCTTTCTCCACCCCAGCTCCTCAGAAGTCACCAGGATGGGTTGCAGAGAGGGAGATCAGGGAGAACAGCACAGGGAGAGGGGGTCAGGGAGAACCAGTGCAGGGACAGGGTCAGGGAGAACCAGTGCAGGGACAGAGGTCAGGGCGACCAGTGCAGGGACAGGGTCAGGGAGAACCAGTGCAGGGACAGGGATCAGGGAGAACCAGTGCAGGGACAGGGGTCAGGGCGACCAGTGCAGGGACAGGGTCAGGGAGAACCAGTGCAGGGACAGGGGTCAGGGAGAACCAGTGCAGGGACAGGGTCAGGGAGAACCAGTGCAGGAAGGAGGTCAGGGAGAACCAGTACAGGGACAGGGTCAGGGAGAACCAGTGCAGGTATAGGGGTCAGGGAGAACCAGTGCAGGGATGGGGTCAGGGAGAACCAGTGCAGGGACGGGATCAGGGAGAACCAGTGCAGGAAGGAGGTCAGGGAGAACCAGTGCAGGTACAGGGGTCAGGGAGAACCAGTGCAGGGACGGGGTCAGGGAGAACCAGTGCAGGTACAGGGGTCAGGGAGAACCAGTGCAGGGATGGGGTCAGGGAGAACCAGTGCAGGGACAGGGTCAGGGAGAACCAGTGCAGGGATGGGGTCAGGGAGATCAGTACAGGGACAGGGATAAGGAAGGCCCACTAGAGGGTGGTGGACGTCAGTCAAAAGGCCCACCTGGCCTGAGCTCTTCCCCATCCGTGCTCCCTGTGTGTGCTGTCCACGTGCCTGTGGTGGGTGCCCAGTGGACATGGAGCTGGCCTCTCTGGGTCTCCCTGGGCTTCAGCCTGCTTTAGCTGGGCACTGTCTGCTTGATCAGTAGGATTGGGGGTCATGGATGCCAAGCAAGGCAATGCCCAGAAATCTAAAAAAGGGCGTAAGACTCTGACCATTTGGGGTCCCTATCCTGAATTTCTTTTCTCGACCCCCTTTTGGGAAGTCACTGGTGGTCTTATTCCTGTGGGGAGGGGTTGCAGGGTACAGAGCAAGCAGATCCTCTGGGTCTTGCCCCTCTGGGAATATTCAACTAATTCATTTTATTTTTCCTGGCTTTCTAGACCTTTTCTGCTTAAATTTGCCTCTTCCTTCTTATCTATTAAGTGTTGGTTTTTCGCATACTGTATTTTGCCATGCATAAAGCGCACCCACATTTTTGGCCCAAACTCTGAGGAGAAATCTTTTATTTAAATTTTTAATTTATTTATATTCAGAAACAGGACTGATTATCATATTCCAGGGTATTATTTTGCACATGGATATCATTATTGCTTTCTAGAGTTACACTTTTAATGCATAAGCATAAGTAAGAGAAATAAAAACATTTGCACTGATACGGAATCGGTATTGCCATGTACAGTGCTCATCGGTATTTTTCCCTCGAATGTTTGGGCACAGAAGCACACACTGCACACAGAGAGATACGGGCGGGCGAGTCACCGAGTAAGAGCCCAAAGTGGATGCTGCTGTACTGAGGGGCGCTGGAGATTCCCAGCCCCTCATGAGTGTCTGCGTGAAACAAGGAAGCTCGGGTGCCTCCTGCCTGCCTGGGTAGCCAGGGGGTGCAGCTATTAGGGGCCTCCTGGGTCCTGGAGGGCCACCCTCCCTGGGAGGGCCTTGGAGTAGCTTCCATCACACCCAGCTGGCCCTCCCTCTTCCTTAGTCAGTCCCCCACATCCCTCTCTGGGTCTCAGCGGCCACTCTACAGGGGTCCCTATGCAGGCTGGTCTTCCCTGACTGTGCAGGAGACTGCCCAGCTGCTCCATGGTTAAGTGGACCCCGGGGCTGCTCTGGGGCCCAAAGAGCCGGCCCCTCCCCAGGGCACTAATTCATCACAATTCAAGTGTGTGCAGTTCCCCAGACTCAGACTCCCAAGTCACACTGCCATCTGTTCACAACTGAAATGCTTAAGAAAAGATCTTTAATCCTAGGTCATGTAGATTTCTGGCTGGGGTTTTAGGTCTGTTTAGTGTGGGGCCCCACAAAACCAACCTTGAAGCTGGGCTAGAAGTACCGTGACCCTTTGGTCACGTGCCCCTCTGGCCTCATCTTATTGTATTGGAATTCTCAGACCCCCAAAGGGAGCGTCTCCCTCAGAAGGAGGCTGGACGCTGTTCTCACCCTTGACATGCTCAGCACGTCCTTGCCCTCCATGTGTTCTTCCATGCAAACCCTGGGGCCTGGCACGTGGGGGCAGCTTTATGCCATGTGGTACACTCCTAAGGGAGTGTAAACTTCCGGGAGAATCCTCACTTGAACTTCTTGGGAACTCTCCATGTGTGTTGTCCCTGACCTTTGGCTTTGCTCAGGTTTCCTCACCTCCTCCCCACAGGTTTAATTGGGAATATCTATCTGAATAATTCTCCCTTGAGAAACTTTAGAATCTACAGCCTGGACATGAAAAAGAGCTTCTTTAAGAGGTGGGTCCCCTCCAAGTGCGTGAACCCCTAGATCACCTGCAGAGAGGCCCCAAGAGCCTGGCTCCTCCTCCTGCTCATGTGTGTGTCTGTGTGTGCAGACCACGCCCATAGCACCTGCCCAGGGAGGGGCTGGCTCATGCTGGAGCCTAGGGGGTTTCCAGGACCCTGCTGCTGCTGTTTCTGTGCCCCAGCTGCCAGGCCTCTGTGTGGGGTGATGCAGAATGGGGCTCAGACTTGAGAAAGTGCCCTTGTCCCTCCTCGTCTCCTGTTCTGTTCATAGGCTCAGCTCTAGTGCATGGAGCCCTCTCCCTGAAGCACCTACGTTACCGGCCTTCTTCTTGGGTGCCTTGTCTGTTGACTTTTCCCCTTTGGACACCTTCATGAAGCTGGAGGTTTGTAGTCCCTCCCTGCCGAGGCTCTCGCGGGTCCTTGGAGTGCTCTGAGCCTGAGCCCTGAGGAGGGGGTTGCTCCCCACAAGGCTCTCTGAAGCCTTGCTGGAGCCCTCTCCATCACCTGGTGCCTAGAGGGCCCCTGGGGTAGGCTCAAAGCAGAAGCACCCCCTTGTGATACTGCTCAGGGGCCAGGCTCTTGAGCTTGGGTGCCCTGCTGGGAAGTAGGAGCTGGGGGGAGAGAGACAGTGCTCCCACCTGGCGAGCTCAGGCTCTCCACCTACCCTTCGCACCACCCTGTTGGAAGCTGAGAGGAGAGCGCACAGCATGTGTCCAACTGTTGCTGCCTTCCTGTGGGAGCTCACATTTGCGGCCTCTGGGGCTGACTAGTGCTCCTGGCTCTGCCTCCAGGGCTGGGAGAAGGGGGTGGCATTCGTCAACGGCCAAAACCTTGGACGCTACTGGGACATTGGACCCCAGGAGACACTGTACCTCCCAGGTGCCTGGTTGGACCAAGGCATCAACCAGGTGGGAGCACCTGTAGCCCTTTCCCTTTCCCAGGATCCCCTTCCCCTTCCCGCCCTCCCTGGTGTCTCAGTGTTTCTTGCGGGGAGGCAGGAGGCCCTGTTACTATCTGTTAAGCCTGGTTCGGGCAGCATGGGGTAGATGTTGTGTTTCCTCCCACTTCGTCGAGTCTCCCTTTCTTTCTCTCCTGCTCTTCTTTCCCATTCCGCCACTCCCTTCCCCCTTTGCATCTCTTCACCCTCTACTTTTTTCTTTCTCTGCCTTTTGCTCACCCTGTACATGCTGTACGCCAAGTGTGCAGCCCTAAGAGAGCTGCTCGCCCTGGCTCTGGCGTGTGACCCATTGCTTCATTGTTGTATACTGAGGGAGGCATTAAATCCAAAGTGACCACTGTCCTGGTTCTCCCTGAGCTCAGGTGCCAGGGATGGAGGGTGGTAGCATTGCAGGTCTTCTGAGGCTGTGAGGAGGAGCAGAGGGTTTGACCAGTCTCCTCCGTGCTTGTCCATCCTGCTGGTGGGCTGTGGTCCCTGTTGCTTCCAGCCTGGTTCCCAGCCCCTTCCCTCATGGCTCCCTCGCCTGGCTCCTGACAAACTTCAACGGCTACTTGACCCCAGCCCTTCTCTCCCCAGGTCCTTGTTTTTGAGGAGAGGATGGCAGGCCCTGTGATCCAGTTTACTGACACACCCCGCCTGGGCAGTAATCGGTACCTCAACTGATCAGTACCACCCAGGGCCTTGTGGTGGTGGGGAGTGGAGCGGGCCCTTCCTCGCTGCAGCCTGGAGGCCTGGGGTGCTGCCCCTCATGCTCCCCCCAGCAGAGCTTCCCTATCTTGCCACCTCAGTCAGGGCTCCACTGCTGCCCGAGCTCCAGTGAAAGGCCCTAATCCTAACAGGACAGAAGGCGGGTGGCGGTGGAGGGGGCCCTTCTTCCCTGCACAGGGTCTTGACTGGACTCTGTGGAGGGCACCTTTCCTATTCCCTGCTCTTCCGGGAGAGGACAGAGGGGTGACAGACTGTCCTATCAGATCTCCACGTGGTGACCCCTGGGCCACAGAATCCTGACCGGCAGGGCGGGCGCTGTACATGGGTGTGTTCCTGTGGATATTCTCACCTGGCTGGCCTCGACCCTCAGGACCCCTTTATGTTTCCACAGCAGCCACTTTGTCACTATTTGTAGAGGGCAGTGAAGGGAGTGTCTCCCTTGAGCCACTGTTGTTTCTTTCCAGCCCTCCCCAAGTGTTCTGTGGGATTCTGGAAGAAATGCCACTTGAGAGAGATGTGTTTTCTTTCCCTTCCCACTCAAATTGCTTCTGACAGGATGACAAGCTGAACTTAAGAGAAGCAGACATACTCAGCCCCTTATTTTCCTGAATTAGAGGGTATTCCCAGTTCTCAGGGAGAAGAGGAAACGCAGATCCCAGTGGAAGCCACACCCCCATCCCCAGGTACAGGAGGAGAAGAGCAGCAGGCCCACTCCAGTGGCCTCGTTGGAGGGGTAGCCTCCCAGGACACTGGGCCACCACAGGGCCTGCAGGCCTGGCACTGACCTTGCCTCCAGCTGGGTCTCCCTTCCCCAACCTCCTGTGACCAAACAGCAGGGAGGAGAGGCAGCCTTCCTTCACAGTTGTCTGTCCAAAATTGAGGTGCTGGTTCTGGGGCTTGGGTCCAATGGTTCAGCTCAGGCTTGCTGTCCTGACTTGCAGTGAAGCACTATTGTTGAATTGAACCCTTTGTTGGTATTTCTTGGATCCTGTCCATGCTGCTGACAGCCAGAGGCAAAGGCGGTGTGCAGCCAGGCACACGCTTAATGCTTCTGCCACTCGGTTCCTAGAGGCCGACTCCATACCATGCTCCTCTGGACCTCCATCTCCACTGAGATGTCGCTGTGGATTGGAAGTGTCCTTGGATTCAAGGCCACTACGAATCCACTCTGGTGCAGGTGGGCAGAGGGGGACACATCCAAAGGCTCTACCTGTGAGTCAGCTATGGTGGGTGAGTTTTCTTCACAAACGACATCTAGCCTTTACTGCCAAGAACTAATGATCTTCTGTAATAGGCAAGTCAGAAAAGGGCACTACCCCAGGGCAGGGCCCACAGCAGGAACCCCTGAAGACTGGTGGGGACAGCCTGCCAGGATATCCCCAGGAGTCTCACAAACTCTCACCCTGTGCTTGGTTAAGGAGAGGGTTCCACACTGGGGCCGCTGGGCCTGAGAGCTGAGCCGGATCAAGGACAGACAGTCATAAGGCCTAGCCCAAGGGACCCCTGGGAGCACAGAGATGAGGCCTATTACATGAAAAGCATGCATGCTGGCTGGGCAGCCAGGTGGGGCAAAGCCCCCATCTCGGCCAAATTCCCCAGCCGTGCCTGGACTGCTGTGGAAGAGAAAGCACGGAGCCTCCACGGTAATGAGACTGGGACTACTTGGGCACTGTTGGCACTGGGCAGCAGGGCCTCCTGCCCTCGCTTTGCACCACAGTGCCTCTGCAAAGCTCTGTGTAGGATGGCTTCTGTTGGAAGATGTAACAGGAAGCTGGTGAATCCTTTCATAAACTGAAGAATTCCCTCGAAACTCTCTTAAGGGAAGCTGCACAGGGATGCACTGGCCTTTCCTTACAGTGAGGCCTCCTGCCCCAAACTTTCAGCTCTTGCCTCTTACCCACCAGATAGCCCTGCAGCTCCTCTCTGTTAGAACCCCTTGTCTGAGATCGTCCTCCAGAGCTTTCCCATAGTTTGCCCAGATCTTCCCAACTGCATGGGTGCTCAGGTTCTTGAAGCCTCCTCCCATAACCCCAACCTCTAAATGCTGGCAGGCTGCAGGCCCACTCCCTGGCCTCTGTCCACACGCTGCAGTAGCTTCACTCACCTGGGGCTTGCAGACAGCCTGACAATTATACACTCCAATGTTCATCTCCACCTAGGTTCCAGGTGTACTGGCTACCATCCACTCACCTCTCCTGCATGTGTCTAATGGGCACCTGACCTTGAACTCCAGTTACTACTGTCGTCCCTCCTTCACTCTGCCCCCTCTCAGGAAGTGGCACTTCTATTTTGTGTCTTGGATGTGTTTCTAACTTCTTTCATAACCCACATCCATTCGTTAGCAACTTGGCTGTCCTTCTTACCCTTCATTGTGTTTCTGTGGTGTATCATGTTAATTGATTTGTGGATATTGCACCATCCTTGCATCCCAGGAATAAACCCCATTTGATCATGGTGTATGATCTTTTTAATGTATTCCTGAATTCAGTTAGCTAATATGTTGTTGAGGATTTTAGATTCTATGTTCATCAGGGATATTGGCCTATAATTTTCTTTCTTTGTAGTGTCTTTATCTGCTTCTGGAATTAACATAAGGCTGGTCTCATAAAATGAGATTGGGAGTCTTCCCTCCTCTTGAATTCTTTGGAATAGTTTGAGAAGGATAGGCGTGTGTTCTGTGAATATTCGGTAAAATTCACCTGTGAAGCCAAACTTTGTTGGGCAGATTTTGATTTCTGCTTTGATTTTGTTAGTTGTAATCAGTCTGTTCAGATTTTCTGTTACTTCTTGATTTAGTTTTGGGATTGTATGTTTCTAGGAATTTATTAATTTCTTCCAGATTGTCCAATTTGTTGGTATATAGTTCATTGTATTTTCTTTTTTTTAAAGATTTTATTAGAGAGAGGGGAAGGGAAGGAGAAAGAGAAGGAGAGAAACATCCATGTGTAGTTGCCATTTCACATGGCCCATACTGGGGACCTGGTCCGCAACCCAGGCATGTGCCTGACTGGGAATTGAACCGACGGCCCTTTGGTTCATAGGCCACAGTCAATCCACTGAGCCACACCAGCCTGGGCATCATTATATGTTCTTATACTCCTTTGTATTTCTGTGGTATCAGTTATTCTTCTCTTTCATTTCTTTTTTTATTCTTCAATTACAGTTTATATTTATTATTATTTTGTATTAGTTTCAGGTATACAGCATAGTAATTTGACAATCTTATACTTTACAGAATATTCCCCCTGATATTCTCTTTCATTTCTGCTTTTATTTATTTGGGTCCTCTCTCTTTTTTTCTTGATGAGTTCAGTTAAAGGTTTGTCAATCTTGTTTATCTTTTCAAAGAACCAGTTCTTGGTTTCATTGATCTTCTGTATTGTCTCTTTTAGACTCTATTTTGTTTATTGCCACTTTCATCTTTATTATTTTCTTCTGCTCACTGCGGGCTGTGTTTGTTGTTCTTTCTCTAGTTTGTTTAGGTGTAAGATTAGATTATTTGAGATTTTCACATAGGCCTGCAATGCTATGACTTTCCCTCCTGGCACTGCTTTCACTGTGTCCTATAGATTTTATGTTGTTGTGTTTTCATTTTTGTTAGCCTCAAGGTAGATTTTGATTTTTTTTTTGATCTCATTGTTTGGCAACATGTTATTTAGCTGCCACATGTTTATGCATTTTTCAGGTTTTTTTCTTGTAATTTATTTCTAGTTTCATACCAAGGTTGTCATAAAAGATGCTTGTTATGATTTCAGGGTTCTTCAATTTACTGAGGCTTGCTTTGTGACAAGTCCTAATGTGTGGTCTTTCTGGGAAAGTGCTCTTATGTGCCCCTGAAGAGAATGTGTTCTGCTGCTGGAGTGAAATGCTCTGAAAATATCAATGAAATCTCTTTGACCTAGAGTGTCATTTAGGGCTGTTGTTCCCTTGTTGATATTCTGTCTGGAAGATTCATCCATTGATGTCAATGGGGTGTTAAAATCTCCTACTATGAGTATATTCCTGTCGATCTCTCCCTTTATGTCCATGAATATTTGCTTTAAATATTGAGGTGCTTCTACGATGGGTGCCTCTGTGTTAAAGGGTTATATCCTCTTGTTGGACTGATCCTTTTATCGTTATGTATTATGGCTTTGTTTTAAAGTCTGTTTCATTTCCATTTGTATGAAATATCTTTTTTCATCTCTTTACTTTCAGTCTGTGTGTGTCTTTCATTCTGAGATAAGTCTCTTGTAGACAGCATATATATATGGGTCTTGTTTTCTTACTCTTTCGGCCACCCTAAGTATTTTTTTTGGAGTACTTATGGCATTTATATTTAAAGTGATTATTGATAGGCATGTGTTTATTGTCACTATATTTTTTTATAATTATGTTCCTTCTTTCTTCTTCTTCTTAAAGACTATCCTATAACATTCCTTATAATACTGGTTTGGCAGTAATAAGCTCCTTTAGCTTTTCTTGTTGAGAAGGTCTCTATTTCTCCTTCAGTGTTAAATGACAGCTTTGCTGAGTAGAGTGATCTTAGTTACAGGCCCCTGCTTTGCATCACTTTGAATAATCCATGCCAGTCCCTTCTGACCTGAAGTGTTTCTGTTGAAACATCAGTTGAGAGTCTCATGGGAGCTCCCTTGTTGGTAAATAGCTGTTTTTTTCTTGCTGCTTTTAAGATTCTCTGTCTTTAACTTTTGTAATTTCAAATATTAAGTATCTTGGTGTGGGCTTCCTTGGATTCATCTTTTTGGGAATGCTGTATGCTTTTCAAACTTGTATGTCCTTTTCCTTCACTAGATTAGGGGAATTATTTCAGTTGTCATTTCTTGAAATAGGATCTCAGTCCCTTGCTTTCTCTTTCTTCTTTCTGGTAACCCTATGTCGTCAATGTTGTTATGCTTGATATTGTCCCAGAAGTCCCTGAAACTAGCCTCATCTTAAAACATTCTTTTTTTCTTTTCATTGCTCTCGTTGTGAGTTTTCCATGACCTTGTTTTCCAAATCACTGATTTGATCCTCTGCTTCGTCTAACTTGTTGATCCTTTCTAGTGTATTCTTCATTTTAGACATTGTGTTCTTCATTTCCGACTGGTTATTTTTTGTGGTTTCTATGTCCTCTTTTATGCTTACTATCCCTTTAAATTGTCACTGAATTCATCCCTTCTTCTCCCAACTTCCTTGAACATCCTTACAACCAGGTCTGGAACTCTGTATTTGGTAAATTGCCTGCCTCCATCCCATCTAGTTCTTTTTCTGGAGATTTTTCCTATCCTTTTATTTGAGATATTTTTCCCTATTTTGGCTGACTTTCTGTACCTGTTTCTGCTATGATCTCCCAGATCTGCTATGTCTCCCAGTCTTGGTGTGGTGGCCTTATGTAGTGGCTGTCTTCTTGGGCTCAGTGGCACAATCTCCCCCATCACCTGAGCAACGTGCTCCAGGAATGTCCCTTGTGTGGGTTATGTGAGCCCTGCCTCATTGTCATTTTGTCTTGATTTCTTTTGGTGCATCCATGCATGGGACTGAGTGTGAGGACTGACTCAACCACAGCATGTGAGCTGCTGTGTGGGGCTGGCACCATGAGGCAGAATTCACCCCAGTGGGGTCTGGTGCCTGCTGAGACCCCCCTTTGGGTGTTCTGCTTGTAGAGCTAATGGGGTCATTCTCTGGTGTGGGCCTAAGCCTGTCACCAAGTGTGTTTGTTCTGGGGCCTCTTGGGAGAGACTCGGTCAGGTGCTGCCTATGACCAGCCCTGGGCCACCTGTTTGGAGCTACAAAGCAATCCACAGTTTGTGGTTGCCTCTGCTGGGCCTGAGTGATTGTGGGAGGAGCCATGCTGCACACCAAGGCCGGCTTCCACCAGCACTGAGCCCAGGGCAGGTCACCAGTCAGCTGCCTGTTAGGCACAGTCACTGAGCCCTTGGAAGTGAGTTGCATGAGGTTAGGTTCTCAGTGGGTCACCATGTAGGGGGCGAAAGGTGTTCACCAGGTTGATACAGATTCACACTTGGTACCAGTGCTGAGTCTGAGGCTACTCAGCAATGTCTCAGGGCTCACCAAGGCCATCTGCCACCTGTCTGGCACCTATGCACCTGTGTGGTGGGATGGGGTCTCAGGAAAACATCAGGGTGATGCTAATAGAGTTCATCAGGCTGAAACAGATGAAGATTTGGCCATGGGAAGGGAGGGCTCTGCACCAGTTGGGTGAGCAAGGGAGAAATGGCCCCTGTCCTGAGCCACACAACTCAGTCTTTCCCTGTCATCTCTGCCCCCCTAGGTCTGTCTGGACCTCCCTGAGAATGTGCCCCAGGAACCAGGCTGGCCACATCCAAGAGACTCCTCCACAGGACATGAGTTCAATAGGGTGGGGCCCTACAGGGTCAGGGGATGGGGCTAGTTCACTGTCCTAGACTGATGCCTTATGGATGGGAGTACTTGACCCAGGAAAGAAGGCATCTGTGGGTGGTGTGGGAGAGGGACTCAGCACAGGGACCCTGGCAGCTGCCCCTCCAGCCTCTCCTCAGATTGGCTACTCCTCTTAAACACATGTAGAGCTCAGCCATGCTCTGCCCCAAAGCTAGCGCTTTCCTTCAGCTCACTGTCATCTTGTGCCTACTTAGTGCAAAGTCCGTTGCCCAGCCTACCTTCACCTTCTCTCTGCTTACTGTCAGCACCAAAAGTGGAGGAATTCTTCTAAAAGGTGTTAGATCTTGTCCCTCCTCTGCTCCAAACCCTCCAGCGGCTTCCCTTTTCACTCACAGAAGCCACAACTTTACCCTGGTTCCCAGCACTAGCCAGCACATTCTGTGCCTCCCCTCCTCCCACGTCCCTCCCATGTCCTCCCACTGACCATTCACCCTCCCCAGTCAGCTGCAGTCACACTGGCAGTTTTGCTGGTTTTCACACATGCTAAGCACCTTCCCACCAGGCAGAGAGTTCTGCTCTCTGGGGTGCTCTGGCCCAGATAACAGCATGTCTGGTGCTGCCATTTTGCGTCACCTTATCAGGGAGGCCTTTCTGAGGGCCCTGTGCAGGCTGGGGCCAGGTTCTCTCCACAGCTTCACTCTGCGCCCCCTGTCCCTTCGAGCCTCATTCTTGTCCCCGGACCAGATCACAGCGGACACACTACAGATTGTTGTCCATCCACATCTTCTCAGGAGAAGGTGAGCTCCATGAAGACCAGTGCTTCAGGTTTCCACTGCTGCGTGCTGGCTCCCAGAATAAAGCCTGTTCCCAGGGGCATCTGACAGATAAGTGTTTGGTGGAGGGTTAAAGCAATAAAAGGGAATAAAATGAAGCAGGGATGAGGAAGATTAGGATTGTTAAAAACCATATTTGACTTTTAATTTTGAGACCAAATTAAATACAGTTAAATTAAAACAGACCAGATGGTGCAGCTACATGGCTCCACCTGCCCCTGTCTCTGTGTGAGACGCCCAGCCCCCCGCTTCACTCCTCCACGTGGTGCGCAGGGAACAGACTGAACTCGGAAAACGAGTGGCTGTCACTGACCCACTTCTGATTTTTAACACGCTCATTCCCAGCAAAGGTGAGAGCTGCCATCTACCAGGGTTATAACTATAAATAAATATGCATGCAGGTAGAAAGGGATATTGGGCAAAAACAACTAGCATCTGCCCCCACAAAATTAATAGAGGAAATCCCTCATTTTGTTCATTATCAATTTCCTGAATATGAGCCCTGGGTACCCTCTGCTGTCACCCTGCTCTGGCTGAGAAGTTTGCCTAAGAGCAGCCAAGCTCACCTGGGCATTCAGGGCTGGGCTCAGTGAGGAGGCTGTGGAGCCTGGGCCTGAATTCACTCACAGGGTGGTTGTCCGGGCCTGCCTCCTCCCTTCTCTCCCATGCCATGGGCAGAATACTGCTTGATTCTGAGAGCTGGATTTCCAAAGCAACACTGGAAATGGAAGAGGCTAGGGAGTGTCCTGCAAGGTGGCTCAGAGGTGTCAGGGATATGATCCCAGCAGAAGGGTTCATGACTACTGTGGAGAGTTCAGTCTGTCTCAAAACAGGCAGCCAATGCTACTTTTTGAATGTTCAGGTTTCTGGACTAAGTCCTATCCCCCACCCACCCAGGAGTGGGTTCTCAGTGGTCCTCAGACTGGTCCTGTAAGTTTAAATGAAGTGGGTGCTGTTAGCAGTTAAAAATAAACACCTTCAGTAGGCTCAAGCCTTCCCTTTTCCTCCATGTGGGAGGCAAATTGTGCTTCCAACTTTCAGGAGCGTGAGTGAGACAGCCACCAGAGGGCCCTGTCTCCAGTCGGAAAGCCAAGGGCCTCTGTGGTGGCCTGGGGAAGTGGATACCCTCTCCTCCCTGTGGAAGGGAGTGACTGGCACATGCACTGTTCTTTTGGGAGGAAGGGGTGCAGCTGGACCTGAGGCAGGCTCGCTCTGCATGCTCCCCACTTAGGGAGAAGTGAAATTCTCTTTCCCATTTAGTGTTTAAAATAGAGTGCTCTCCAAAGTAGCGTGTGCTCAGGTCTCCTTTCCGCTCAGTGTCCAGATGATCTCTGCTTTTTTTCCATCAATCCCTTGGCCAGTGCAAAATCCCCCTGTCCCCCCACCAGGGGCAGGAATCTTGGACTTGCTTTGGCCTCCCTCCTCTTTCTGCCTCTTACACCCCTGCTCACTTGGGCCACTGAGGTCTGTGGTTCTCGGGGGGCTTCAGGAAGAGGGCTCCTGCCCTCCCCGTCCTGGCCCAGGCAAGGGCCCTGCGTGTGGGGACAGGGGCCCACGTGGTCTTAGTCCAGGTCATTGCGTGGCCTGTGCTGGCTCGAGGGCCCACCTGCTTCTCTGTGCTGCAAGGAGCAGGCTTGAGGGGCATGGGCTGGAGGAAGGGGCTCTTCTCCCACTACAGCCTGAGGTACAGAGGGAGCCTGTTGGCAGGCCCAGGCTCCCCTCACACAGAGCTGGTCGCCTGTTGGGATCAAAGACAGAACAGGAACGAGAGGAAAGCCACAGAGGCACGTGTACTTGGGAGCAGCTCTCCGAGGAGGGGACAGGCTCCTGATACCCAGGTAGGGCCTGCTCTCTGGTCTTCAGAATTCTCTGGCTGGCTGCCCTGTGAGGCCGTGCTAGACGCAGGGATCCAGGAGCAGGGAGCTGGAGTGTTGGGGGGGCGCACCCTCCACTTGACTGCCGAATCTTTTCATCTCCCTCCCAGGCTAGCATAACTCTGGGTCTTGGGTGAGCCCCGTGCATCTGTTATTGCAGGCCTGTCGATGCAGGAAGCTCTGGGGAGGTGTGCTGGGGCACCAGCATGCTGGCCTGGGGGCGGGGCTAGCAGCTGGGCCCTGGGCACGCTGGATGGGAGAGAACAGCATGCCTGGGATTTCTGTGCTTTAAGTTCTCCGTCCTTTGTCCTGGCATTAGGCTGGGCTCTCTCTGAAGCCCCGGCATAGAAAAGAGGGTGCTGGCCATTCCTTTGGAGTTTGCCTTGGAGGGGCCATCAGCCATAGGGAGAGGATGGAAGGCCAAGAGCCGGGTCTGAGAAGAGGCTCCTGTGAAGTGGGGAGGAGCAACAGGTGAGGCAGGTATCTGAGGGGCCAGTTTGGCCAAGCTACTCAAGCCTTAGCCCCAACAGGGTTCATGGGGGAGCTGCACAGAGCCCAACGGTGAGGGGGGTGGGCTCCTCCAGGGACCTTGTGAGGGGAGAGGCAGGGGATGTGGCTCTGCACTGATGGATCTCAGTGTCACTGGCCCAGCCAAATTGTTAGGTTCAGGAGATGAAACAGGCAGACTGACACCCTGGGGTCCCCAGTGGGCAGAGCACTTGCAAATGTAACACAGAAGCTGCCATTAAACTCCAGGGCTAGAGTTCAGGTGTGTCCCACTAGCTCAGCTCCCACCTCTGTGATAACATCCTAGAAATGCCCAGAGGACATTCCTGGCTTTGTCAGTTTCTTGGCACAATTCATTTCATTCATTAGCTTTTCTGAACATCATTTCTTTACCTCTAAAATGTAGGCAGGTCCCATGGCCCACTTTAATAGAGGGTTTTAAAAATGAACTACTTATGTAGGACTTATTATGGGCTAGAGACCGTTCTTGGTACCCCAACAACTTATTTTACAGATGAAGAAACTGAAGCCTAGAAAAAGAAAGGTCAAACGGAAGAGTGGCAGGCCAGGGGCTGATCCAGGCTCTGGGCTCCAGCTCGGACCACTGCACTAGCTGTTACTGTTGAGAGACTCATGGACTTGTTAGTCAAGGTGGAAGCAGTGAGTGAGGGCCCTTGTCACACTGGCATGGGTGAAGAGGAATCCACAGTGCAGGGCAGCCTAGGAGAGCACACAGCAGTGCCTTGCAATGGGGCAGGTGCCGTGGTCCGAGTAATGGTGGTCATCAGGCGAGGTCCAGAAGGAGAGGCCTTCCGACACTGCGGCAGAAGGACCCAGCTGTGGGGGAGGTTGGCTCCTGTTAATTTCCAGATAGCGCCATAGGAAGGGGACTTTGCTTTGCCTCTTCCACTCTTGCTAGCATTTTCCTGACTGTTCTCCCACAATTAAAGACCAAGAGGAAGAGTCTTGGCAGGTTTATTCTGTGTCCAAACATGGCACCCCCTGCCCCACGCATCACTGCCCTTGCTCCCGCCATACCTGTATCCCGGGCTCAGATCTCCACAGTGGGGTCAGTGAAGCCTTTCTTCCCCTCATTCACCAGCACTGGCTTCTCTGTCCGCGTGTGCCACACTAGGATCTGTGTGCGCAGACAAGAATTAGTGTGGGACAGGTCCTCGACCTCACCCCACCACCACCTGCTCCCCCTCACACGGCATGTATTTCTCCTGCACCTCCCATTCTGGCCTTGTCCCATCTAGATTTTCCCCATTGTTATTAACTTCTACCTACCACCTCATTCTTGCTGTTTTTCATGTGTGATGCATTCAAAATAGCTATTGGAAACAGAAAGTCTACACCTATAGGAAAATAGACAAACCTGAAGATCTCTTGCTTCTCAGCTTCCCCTGCATTTCTTAATGGGTTTCTCTAGACAGGGGGAAAGTTGTTCAGGAGCCTTCAGCTTAGCCAAATGCTGGCCCAAGTCCTAGCTAGAGAAGTTCAAACTAGTCACAGTGTGTGCATGTGTGTGTGTCCACGTGTGTGCACACGTGCATGTGTACTTGGCAGGGAGGTTGTGGAGACCAGCTCTTTAGAGGGAGGCAACACAGTCTTTGGCTCTGCCTCACTAATTGCCACCCTCTGCATGTCCCTGCTTGACTTTAGCGTGGTTGCCGGACAGCTGATAAACTGCCTTCCTGGCTGGGGTTATAGGAAGGCATGACTCTGGGCCCACTTTGCGGGGCTGTTTTGAGGCCTTTCCTTCCTGCTCCCTGATCTGCAGGGAGAGTTTGATGGACTTCGAAACACTTGCATTACAGCTGTTCTGCTGAGGGCCTTACCTTGGTGCAGTTGGCTGCCTTGGGCTCCAGGTCATTAAGGGTGACAAGCTCTCGGAGGAGGCTGCTTTCCTGATAGCCTCCTTTCACGCCACGCAGCTTGAAGTAGGCCTGGCTTCGCTGTAGAATGAGCCGCAGGTTGACCGCAAATCCAGCCATGTCTATTGCAAACGGTCGGTGGGGGTCAAACACTGTCTTCCAGCCGACCACCTTCCCTGCCCCGTTGACCCGTGGGGCCTCGTAACGAAGGCCGCCGACGAAGGCGACCGGCCACACGGACACCCTCCTGGTGCTGCGCATCTACAAGGGGGACCCAGAGTCAGGACACCTGGGATTGATGATAGGGGCTGATGCCCAATCCCTCGGGAGATGACATCAATTGACTCCAGGCTCACGGGCCATGTGAAGCCATGTTAGGGGACTCAATCTAGGTCTGTCTTCAGACTTGTCCCCGTGGTGGGCATCTGTGGAGGAATGTGGCCCCTCAAGCCAACTGCTCTTCCCTCCTCTCCATGTGCCACTTTCTTCCTTGCTACAAACCTGTGTTCCTAATTTAGAATTTGGCCCCTCCCTCTTCTCTCCCCCAAAGGCCATGACCTGTCATCCCCAAGGACCCTGAAACTGGTCCACACCTCATTCAAACAATGCCTCCACTCCACCACAGTGGTCTAGCAGCTCCAGCACCCCTCCATTCCGTTTAATGCTTGGGAATACTGAGGCCCACTGCCAGCCCTCCCATCCCTGCTCCAGGTCCCTGCAGTCTCCACCCACCCTGGCCTGGAGCCCCTCCTGCACCTGTTTCCCAGGCATCCCTACCCAAAGGGACCCTTCTGGAAGTCTGGGCCTCCTCCGCAGGAGCATCTTCATTTCCCACACCAGAGCACCCCTCCCCTGCCTTCTGCCTGGTCCACACCTCCTCAAAGAGCTCCAAACTGTAGGTGTTGTCATCGTCAGCGAAGTACACCACGCCAGGCTGGCTGGAGTTTCGGGGAAAGGTCTCGCGCAGCCAGCGCAGCGCCAGATTGCGCTGCATGGTGCCGCGCGGGATGCGTGGGTCGCGGGCATCGCCACGCAGCTTGTAGTTGCGGGGTGTCTCCACGTGCAGATGCGTGTAGTTGAGGCCAGTGTCACGCAGCAGGCGCGCTGTCAGCTGGGTGCGGCGGGGTGCGTCTTCTACCACCAGCCAGTGCAGGTTGGGCACATGCAGCAGTGTGTTGGCCAGACGCGTCAGCTCCGCCTTCTGCACTGGGCGGCTGTAGGTGGGCGTCACCACATGGATGGTGGGCAGTGTGTCGGACCAGGGTGGGGGCCGCGTGTACACATACTCGGTGCGTACCACTTCCACAATGTCACGGTCGGACATGCAGTATTCCCTGGAGTCCACGCCTGGTGGGGCAGCGCGCCTGGGGTCACTGCCTTCATCTGTGGGGTTGGGAGACAGTTGTGTAGGTACTAGAGCTGGCCCTGGGTTCAGGTACTGGGCAGGATGCCCCACCACCCTGCCCCACAAACCTGCCCTCTGCTCCTCTTCAGGTGGGCCATCAGATCCCTGCCTGGGGCTCTGTCTGTCAGAGCTGATGGTAATAGCAGCATCCTGGAATTCTCGGGCATTTTTCTAGTTCTGACTCCCCAGGCAGCAGAGGTGACCTCTGCCTCCTTCTCCGTTTGACAGCCCTGTGGCTGTTTGCAGCAGACCAGACTCCAAGACTGACCCTTCCGTTCCTAAATGTGTTGGGTTTAATAAGAGTAAGTGTCTGACCCACACCACCCTAGTAGCCTTCTCACCTGGCCAGCACTGACCACGCTGCCACTGGGCCCTGGCACTGCCACCATGTGGAGTAAACACCACAGTGCCCAAGAGCAGGGTGAGTGCTTTGATGGTGCAAGTGCACTATGGATTCTGAGTGTGAGGTTCCTCTCCCTGATTTCTCACAAACCCTCTAGTCAAATAGGGCTTCTTCCCTCCTGGCCTTATGCAATCTATCTTTTGTGTCTCTGCAGAATTTAGCACTTAACCACTACATTTTATTCCAGCATTTTGCCCAAAGTTTTCAAGATAATTTTGAGTCCTGAACCCATCCTTCCTGATTTCAGATGTCCCTGCATTTTGGCATACACAAAGGATGGGTGGAGACCTGTTCTAGCTCTTCTGCTGGTTGGGTGTCGACATCCTAATCTTCACTTTCTGGAAACACTCATTCGACCATCTTTGGAGCCAACTGCCCACTGACCCCAGCTGTCCCACCTCCAGCTAATGTTTACCTCTATCTGTCCAGGGACATTGTGTGAAAACTGGCAGAAGCCTGGTCTCTGGTGGAATAGTCCCTGGCACTATGGCAGCCCACTCCAGTGACCGAGCTTTTCCTTATGTCCTGGACATTTTCCCCTTTAGTGGCATTGGTAGTCCATCAGGAGGAGAAATCAGGGCTGTTGGTGGTCATGTTCTTAACGAGCCCCTCTTTTCCTCATTATATCTTTCCATTTGAACAACTGTGACCCTCACTGCTCTCATCCCATCTCAGCAGGGGGTGATGATGATCAGAATGCTCATGCCTGGGCACAAATGCTATCTTGTTCTGTCACTTAGCTTCTGGTTTCTCAGTCTGGGCAACTGTGATGTGGAGTTAACCGCAGCACCTACTTTACTGAGTTACAGCCTGGATTAAGGAGTCCATACAAGTGAAGGTGTCAGAACACTGCAAGGCAGCTCCTGTCCTTCCCTCAGGTAGAGGAGGAGGACAGTAGCCGGTCCTGCTTCCTTGTGGCTTCATGCAGCTATGGAAAGAACGAAATGAGCAATCGCATGAAAGGTCTGGTGTGTGGCCCTGGGAAGGCCACTGTGAATTAGCCATTCTGTCACTTCCCCTCCTTCCCACCACTGTGATTAGCACAAGGGGTGCGTGGGGTGCTGGTGTGAGGTCTGACCCTGGGCTCTGGGAGGAGATCCAGATGAACCCAGAAGAAGACCTGCTCATAGCAATTAGGGAGTTCGCTCAGGCTAATGGAGGAAAAGCTGGGGGCCCATTCTGCAGGCCTGGATATGATGTCACGAGCTGTGAGGGCAGGAGTGGGAGACTGGCATGGAGGCGGTTGGTGAAAGGTTACTTTTTGGAGGAGTTTTGGGTTAAACTGTAAAAAGAGAACAAGTTTAAGGAAAGTGGGATGAGTGAGATTCCAACCAAGCTATATAAGGACTGCTCTATCCTGCAGTTGGTCAAGTTTTGGAAGCTGAGACTTGGAAATGAGATTTAGAGCCACTTTCTGCCTCCTTCTGCCACACAAGTCCTCCCAAACAGGGAGATCTGTACTGTGGGAAGGTCTGCTGTGCCTCAGACTCAGCCATAGCTGGAACTCAGCCCCTCCTGCTGGCTTCATAGTTCTGTGACCTTTGAGTCATGAAGGCCTCCCTGGGTCCCTGACTTTATTTCACTGCAACTTTCCTTTGGTCCCTCTTGGCATGCTCTGTGGAGACAGGAGACCAGTTCCTCATCTGCAGGTGGTAAGATCGGTGCTTAGCAAAACAGCCCAGCATGTCTGGCCCTAGAGCTCTGCCAAGAAAGGAAGCCACGTGATGTCATGTCACTTTATACATGGCAGTTTCGACCCCTCTAGGGTGACGTAGTTGTAGAAGAGCAATGGTGCTAAAGTGACAGGCACCAAAGAGAGATGTTGGCCTTGGGAGGAGAGAATAACTGTCAGGAGGACAGGCTCCAAGGGCCCGGCATTTGGCAGCGTAAAGTTAGTGATGTTCAGCTTGCCCCTTCCTTACAGAAGCTTTGGGAACTGCTGGGACTGAGCAGGGCCAGATGTGAACCGTGTGGGGCAGCCCAGCTTCAGGCTGTGATTCTTGGCTACTGTCTGCATCCCAGGCACTTAGGGTTATGGCTACATGTGGGTTCCCAGGCCCTACCTGGGGCCCTAGTCACCTCCCTCGCTGAGATGGGCCTGAGAGCCTTCATGTGTATCACACTCCCAATGCCATCCTGTGCTCCGTTCCAGGGGAGAATCGCTGCCCTAGAGTACCGAGATTGCAGGTCTGTGGAGTGCAGAAGGGAGAGGAGCATGACTGAAGAATCAGGCCTGAGGAGGCAGGTCCGATGTGGGGCAAATGGAATGTTCTGGAGTGTAGGGACCCTGAGATCAGAGGGAAAGGTATCTGGTGGAGGGGGAAGCTGGGGACTCAGCCCCATTCTTCCACCAGTGCTTCGTGGGGTGTTTCCTCTGGCCAGGCCTATTTTTACTAGGTCAAACTAGATCAGGGCTACCTAACCAGGAAAAGAGGGGCAACTGATGTTCTCTCCTTGAAAGATTTTAAAACACAACACAGGCCAGGAATGCTCTTCATCCATCCCTCCCCACTGCTATGAGTGCTCCCTGTCTCTGCACATCCTGGAACTGGACTCAAGTCACGCACATGCATCTCTGTGAGTGTGTGAGGAGGGGGCTGGGTAGCATTCATCACATTCCCAAAGGGGCCAAGACCCCTAAAAGGGCCAGGTCATTAGCCTGGCTCATCCTTAGGCTCCCTCCCAGCTGCCTGGCGAATGAAAATAACTCCATTGGCGCTGTCTGTCTCACTCCCACCACTGACACCTGCTGGGGCTGGGCTGGGACAGGGGCATGGCTCACCCTTGTGTGCAGTAAGCAGAGGTGCGATGGTGCTCTGGTGCCACACGGTGACGAGCAGTGTCCAGGGCAGCACGATGAGGACGATTGCAAGGATGTCCCGTCGTTTTGGCATCTCCAAGGCTGGCTGGGCCCACAGCTCCTCATTACCTGAGCAGCAGCAAGGTCGGGAGAGGGACGGCCCCAGGGGTGGTGGCAGCACCGTGATGAACACAGGGGAGAAAAGAACAGGAATGGGCCGGACAGGCCACACATGGGACAGCAGAGAAGCCGAATGCTGGCTAGCAGGTCTTACCAGTGCTCACAACCCACCCATTGCGGAAGCAGGTTTGCAGAGTCCAGCCTGGCCAGAGTGTGAGAAGGGGTGGCTGTTTTTGTGCACAGTCAGGAACCCTGCAAAGCACACACCTGTAAGAGAGAGCAGAAGAGGATGGCCAGAGACCTGGGTGGGGGCCCGAGTCCAGCAGGACCAGGCCCAGCTTGGGGTTTCCCAGTGGAGCCTGGACCGCCATCTCCCTGAGGACCTCTCCTTCCTGCCTGCCTGGGAGTGGGGAGCCCCTGTTCCCTGCAGTAATGGGAATGGGACATTGCCATACCCTGTGAGTTTAGCAGGGTGCAGAGGTCAAGGGTACAGACTTCAGACACACCTGCCTTAAACACCTACTTTGCCACAAGCAAGCTGTATTTCCTTTGCCAAGTTGCAAATGTCTGTGCCTCAGTTTCCTCATCCATGAGTACTATCAGTACTATCAGTAGCCACTTTACAAGGTGATTCTGAGACTTAAATAAGTCAGCGCCCATAAAACCCTTAGACTGGCACCTCATGCACCTGGTGTATGCCATGTGCTCAGGCCTGGGCTGTCCGAATGTTTGGGCCCAGGTGTTTTTTTCACAGCCTGGATAAAGGGGTCAGCACTGGGGGGACTCCTTTGAGGTCAAACAAGAGATGTTTGGGGACAGGGCCTGAGAAGCAACACTGCAAGGGCCTTCCCCTTATTGATGTCAACAGGAAATTTCTGTAGGACACCTGCTCTGCACGGGCAGAGCCTGGGCTTGGCACTGGGTGTCAGCAAGGAGAAGAGGTGGTGTGGCTGCGGACATCCATATCCTGGGAGACAGTACTCAAAATGGTGTCAGCAGGGCCCCAGGAGAGGCACCCCCTTGTGAGGATGACGAGGTGGCCTCAGATCAGCAGAGAGTCGCTGGCAGCTTTCTCCTCAGGGGCTTGTTCTCTCGTGTGACAGGGAGAGGAGGCACAGGGCTCAATGACCACCCTGGAAAATGTCATGTCATGTTCTCCTTCCTCCTACTTCCATGCTGAACACCGCACATGATGCAGGTGCCAATGTGATGGCCCTCAGAGGCCAGCTGTCTGCTGTGGCCCCAGGCCACCTGTGCTCTCCACCTCTGGCAGGGCTGAGAGCTATGGAGGAGGACTGTTTTGGTCACCACATTTGGAGACATGTGTTCCCCTCCTGGTTGGCCCGTTTACCAAATAGTTCTGACATTTTGTGGAAGAGCCAGGTGCTGTCTTCCAGGAAAGAGCACAATGGCCCCTGGGTCCCCAGCATGCCCCCAACACCTCGATGCTGCCCACCGCCACAGCCCTGCTCTGCTTCCAGTCTCCTGGTAGGCAGAGGTGAAAGGCCAGCCCTTATCTCCTTAAGAAAATGGAAGTCCTAGTGGGGTTGAAGTTTCCAGGCAAAGACCAACACTGGACATACAGAGCAGGGAGAATAATGTTGGGGTATGTGTGCTGTGTCTCCTACAAACTCCTCTTCCATGGCCCCAGTAGGTGACAGAGCCCAGTGTCCACTCCAGGATGCCTGTTGGGGTCTTACGTGCTGGATCAATGAGTGGAGTGGCCTTATGCCACACCCCTAGTCCCAGTTCCATACCCCTACTCCAAGACCACCGATGGGGCTGTGAAGGGCTGATCAAAGCCTCAGTTTGGCTGACTGATCTTAGGCCTGGCTGGGAGATTTCCTCTGGGTTTTCAGTGGCTCCTGGCTTTTTCAAATGTCCCTCATCTTGGGGAGGGTTCTAAGTGCTGGATGAAGAAAGCAATGGAAAGGTGAGCTTTGTGCACATCTGGCTTACTATCTGTTGTGCACTCACTTGGCTGCCTTCACTCTTTCTCCCAGAACCCCCTCTATTCTACGCCTTCTACTGCTGGCACTGCTCAACCTCCTGCTTGTCTGCTGGACTGTGGTCATTACTAAATGATAGCTGCTAAGGAGCACCTGTAGTGTCCAAAGATGACTCTCTGCAGTCCATGTTCAGTATCACAACAACCCTGGGTGGGATTTTGCATGGAGTTCATCAAGGCCAGCAAGGACCAGGGGCTCACCTGAGGTAACAGACAAGACATGGTGAAGCCAGATGTAAATCCAGGCCCTTTGGTCCTGTGCTGCAGTCAGGTGCATGGGGAAGGAGGTTCCAGGCCTCAGAGTGCCTGAACCTGGCCAGATGCAGGGTGAGCACAGGGGCATATACAGGGCCTGATACAGAGCCACCCACCTCTGCGGAAGCCACCTCTATGCAGTCCCTGCACCTTCTTAGAGATGGGAGCAGCAGTGGGGAAGGAGGAAGACAGGGGCAAGGCTGCAAGGGGGCCATGGAGAGATGGTTCTGTCCTGTTTGTCTCTTTGGTCAACATATCTATGAAAGGATAGGGAGGGGGGATGAGGGAGAAAAACTCTAAAAATAAACTTAGCAATAAACCCAGTTGTGCATTAATTACTCTGGAAGTCATTATGGCTTGAAAATCCCATAACTTTAATGGAGGCTATTATAAGCATAGTAGCAAAATCATGCAGCTAATTACCAGGCAGTTATTAAGCAGAACAGGGAGAGCCCCCAGTCTTAAAGAAAGCCAGCTGGCCACAGGGGTGGGTTTGTGAGAAATTGGGCCTGGGCCTGGAGGGCTGGGGCTGGGGGGCCTGGAAAAAGGGGGGGCAGGGGAGGGGAGAGGCTATACTTGTCCCAACCTCAGATCTAAGGTCCAAGTCTGAGATGAGGCTGCAAGGATGCCTAGCTTACCACAGCCCTTTTCTTCTGCCTGAGCCTGGAAGCAAAGGCGGCAGCTTGTCTGTGGTCACAGGGTCAGCCCTCGGGCTGCATCCACTACAGACCCCAAATTGCCCTGGGCCTTTGGTGGGAGTAGGCAGGAGAGTCAACACCAAGATGGAGGAGGGGCTTGGCCACACCTGGAAGCCAAGAGATGGACAGGGGCAAGGGTAGGCAGCATGAGCTGTTTGAGTGAGTCAGGTGGAGGCAGCCAGGTGTGGCTGAAGCAAACTATGCAGGCAGCATGAATGAGTGTGAGTATCCAGGGTCTACTATGGTCAGTCATGTCATTTGTCCCTGAACAAGTGCAGACATGAGGAAGCACTTCCACCCACCTGGTGCTTTCAGATGCCTCCATTGGACACAGAGGAAGGCCATACAGTGGGTGGATCATGTGTGAAGCCTGGTACGGTCATTTGGAGACAGTAACAGAATACAGGGAGGCAGTGGTAGGGAGAAGGGAAGAAGTGGCCTGGACAGGGTTCTGGTCGGCTCCCCACTGGGAATGGGGGTCCACTATTTGTCCTCTTTGGCCTATACCTTCTTCTTTAAAATAGGGAGGCTGGATTGGAAAAGTTTGAATGAATTTTCAGTTATGCAACAGCTAGGGCTCTGTAAGGATGAAGAAATGTTCTGTGAGAGAAAAGTGGGGACCAGGTAGACACTAAAGGACAAAGTCAAGGGAAGACGGTGAAGTAACAGCTTTCCATGGTACTCAGTCATAATTTGAGCATCAATGCCCAGGAAATTAGCCATTTGGAAAGACTTATTTATAGGAATCTAAGGGTTTTAGGGTGCCATAAGCTGTACATGAGAACTAGGGAGTGTCTGGACCTGGGCAGGAAGGCCCTGATGTGTCTGAGGCTGGGACAGAGCCAGTCAGGCTAAGGGGAGAGGCTGGGCCTGGGGAGGCAGGGCTGGCTGGGAGGTCAGCTTCAAAGGTGGACAATTCCAAATGCACAGAAAGGCTTTCTACTGAGTCTGCAGGTGCTCAAACAGATACCTCATCAATGCCCTTAGGTCCTGAGGAAGAGGCTTATTTAATTTCATTCAACAAGTATAATTCAGCATCTGCAGTGGGCAGTGTGTTAGATTCCACCAGCAGTGCAACAGACTGGGAGAGGGGCCACACCCTGCCTTCCTGCACCCCCGAGCCCAGAGGGCAGGGGGCACTTACACAGCTGTGGCTGACATGTGATGAGGAATAATTGTGTAGAGACTGAATATGTGTGTGGATGTGTGTGCATGCATGCTCACCTGTGTGTGAGTGTGATGAAGGTCAGTTATAAACTAGCTCAGAAACCATCCAAGACTCTTGTCTCTGACAGATGATAAAGCCATGTTACTCAAAGTTAGTTCATTAGCCAAAGGAGTCTTAAAGTGAAGAATCCTTCAAAATGATCCATCCACCTGATGCATGTTTCAAGTTAAGCAGCATTTAAAAAGGCAAGAGTCCAGTACACGATGTTTCCCTTTATGACACAATGCGAAGCCATGTTCCCCCAGACACGGCCCACTCACCACTGGCTCGCTTTTGGCACCTCCACTCTCTCTAGGCAGGTCCTCAGCCTGTGCTCAGGCTCACAGTCAGTGGGGCAGCTCTGTCTGGTGTTTCCAGCACTATCCTCACCTCAGTGCATTGCCACTGGTGATCCAAGGCCTGAAGGGCACTGGGCGTGCAGTCTGGGTGTGGTATCCCTTAGAATTTGTATAACTTTTCCCACCAATCTGCACCTAATTTGAAGAAATTTTTTCCAGACTCACCTTCTGGAGTCTTTTGAGAGTGTTCAGCTTAGTTTTTGTAGAAACAGCACATTTCTTTCTTTCCTGCCCATGTTTCATGGCTTCTATAATATTTCACAGTGGGGACCACCAGCATGACCTCTGAAAACAGGCTGGGGGCAGACATTAGGGAGCCTCGGACTGTGGGTCAGCACATGGCTATCCTGGTGTGAGCAGGGGTGGGCCACCAGAGGGGAGAGCCACCTTTCTGCATGCACAGATGCCTGTTGGGGTGCCTGGCGGCTGACGTGGAAAATGGTCAATGTGCTGAATGGGTGGCGGGATCAGCGAGAGGCCAGTTCAGGGAGCTTCTGCACATGAGATGGAAGAAAGCCAGCCTCTGTCCTCTGAGTGCCTGAGTATCCCCAGGCTGGCTGAGAACAGTTTGGGCCCCAGAAGAGTGAGGGTGGGTGGAGGACTGGGCATGGGAGCAGGGACATGGCGACAGGAGGCAGAAGAGGGGAAATTTAAAAGAAAATGGGTGACAGCTATTAGGCCAGGCTGCAGCTCCAGGTCCCCCATGGAAGAGAGGCATGGATTTC